GAGGGACACCTGGGTGGCTCAGTCAGTTAAGCAGCTGCCCTGGGCTCAGGTCATGATCCTGGAGTCACATGATCGTGATCCAGCCCCACTTGGGGACATGGGGCTCCCTGCTCTGTGGGGAATCTGCTTCTCCCTCTCCCTTTGCTGTCCCCTCGCCATGCTCTCTCTCACTGGCTCACTCTCTCAAATAAATAAATAAAATCTTTAAAAAAAGGGAGGGGGGTCGCCTGGGTGGCTCAGTCGGTTAAGCGACTGCCTTCAGCTCAGGTCAGGATCCCAGGGTCCTGGGTTTGGGGTTCGGGCCGCATTGGGCTCTCTGCTCAGCGGGGAGCCTGCTTCTCCCTCTCCCTGCTGCTCCCCCTGATTGTACGCTCTCTCTGTCAAATGAATAAATATATCTTCAGAAAGGAAAGAAAAAGAAAGAAAGAAAGGAAGAAAGGAAGGAAGGAAGGAAGGAAGGGAGAAAGAAAAAGAAAGAAAGAGAGAAAGGTGGGGAGGAAGAGTAACCTTACAGTGGAGAATCTGACAAGCGCTACCAAGGTCAACATCAACAGTGGTGAGTCATGTTGATGGTATATACCCTTGATATGATGTGATGATAATGGTATTTCACCTCCCCCAAACCCATAACCCCAATCTAATTATGAAAGAGATAACAGACAAATTCCAATAGAGAGCATCCTACAAAATACCTGCTCAATACTCCTCAAAATTGTCAAGGTCATCAAAAACAAGGAAAGTCTGAAAAACTGCCAGAGTCAAGAGGAGCCTAAGGAGACATGACAACTAAATATAAGATGATATCCTGGATGGAATCCTGGAACAGAAAGAGGACAATAGGTAAAAACTGAGGCGATCTGAATAAAGTACGGGCTTCAGTTAATAATAATGTATCAATATTGATTTACTAATTTTAACAAATGTGCCATACTAATGTAAGATGTTTGTAGTAAGGGAAACTGAATGTGAGATATATGGAAACCCTCCACCGTCTTCTCACTTTTTCCATAAATCTAAAACTTCTAAAAAAGAATGTGTATTTAAAAAAAAAACTAATTTGGGGTGCCTGGCTGGCTCCATTAGGAGAACATGTGACACTTGATCTCAGGGAGTTCAAGTCCCATGTTGGGTGTAGAGATTACTAAATAAATAAATAAACTTAAAAAAAAAACAAATTACTCACTTAAGTCAATTAAATCACTCCTTTTGGTCTGGGTCTTCATTCAGTCAACAATTACTACTAATAGTTAACTTGTATTTTTTTTTAGAGATTCTATTTATTTATTTGAGAGAGAGAGTCAGCGAGAGAGAGACAGCAAGAGAGCATGAGAGCAGGGAGGAGAGGGAGAAGCAGACTGCTTGCTGAGCAGGGAGCCCGACACTGGGCTTGGGGCTGTATCCCAGGACCCCAGGATCATGACCTGAGCCAAAGGCAGAAGCTTAACCGACTGAGCCACCCAGGCGTCCCTAGTTAACTTGTATTGAGCATTTTCTAGGTATAGGCACAGTGCTGAGTGATTTGCATAATATTCTACAATATTCACAATGCTACAGGTAGATTTTTCTCATTTTACAAATGTAGAAACTGAAGCATGAAAAAGGTCATTCATGCAATTGTTTAATAAATATTTATTAGTAAGTTATGACTGCCCCATGATACTGGGTCTCTCAGAGTAAATGCCCTGCAGGGGTCTCAGGTGCCACTGTCCAGATTGTGCTCAATCATGTGACCTCTGCCCCACCCCCATCCAGCTCTTCCTGGTCCTGTACAATGGTGACATTGCACCATCTGCCACGTCTCCCCAGGAGTCGTCCTGAACCCTTCCTTCATCCCCACATCTAACCTGTCACTAACTCCAGTGGGCTCTTCCTCAGACATGTCTCCCCAGAGTCTTCCCAGTCTACTCTCTCTCCAGGTTGGGCCCTCACCACTTCTCTGCCTCAGGTCTCATACTCTCTGATGTGGACTCCACCCAAGCCACCACCCATTTTTTTAGAACCCACATCAGATGATCTCATCCCTAACCAAAGCCTTCTGATGGCCTATTCAACTGATTTCATAATCTGGCCACAACTGGTCCCATTTCCTACACTGCCCCACTCCCTGATGCTCTAGCTCCCCAGCCCCCAATTGACCTGTTTGCAGGCCTATTCTTTTGGTTTTCTTGAGGCCTGCATAATGCCTTCTCTTTTTTTGCCCTTGGAAATCATGCATGCACTTCAAGTCTTAGCTCAAATTCACCTCCTTTCATACACTATTCCTCTTACTCCCTGGCCCAGCAGTCAGCCCTTACCTATCTTGTGGCAACAACCACACAGATTGTGAGAGGTAGGAGCTGGTGGATCTGTATCCCCAGCTGTGAGTTCCCTAAGACACTTCAGTATTCCTGTGCTCAGGTTTGTTTGGGGTATTCTCCACAATCAGCTTCTGTTATATCAAAGAAAAATGCCCATGCTTCTTAATTAAGGGTCAGTAAATGGCCGGGATAAGAAAAGCCATAGCAGTTCTGATGGGGAAGTTGTAGTCTAGGGAGGCTTCGTGGAGGAGGTGGACTTGAGAATGACTGTCAGATTAAAGCCACATTTTTAGTTTCCTGAGCATATCCTCTGTGTTGGACATTATGCTAGAGCAATGAGCTTTCACCTAGATCACCTCATTTACTTTTCCACACAGACCTATGTATCATTATACCTACAGTATTTCTGTAGATGAGGAAACTGAAGTTAAGAGCATCACCTGCACACAGTGTCCAACTAGTGAGTGATTGGGCAGGGATAAGAATGCTGGTCTTGTTCTTACTCCAAAGTCCAACATAAGGATGGGAGAATGAGTATGCAGAGGAATCCTACTGTATTCAACTCAACAGGGAGTGTGTACTGAGTCCATAGTAAGCAAGGCCCACTTAGGGCCCACCCTATACATTCCAGAGAGCAGTGAAACCCAGGAGGAAGGTTTTAGGGACAGTGAGGAGGTAGCTGGAAGGACTCTGTGTCCCTGAGACACCCCTCGATGCTGGCTGGCTCCATGCAAGGGGGACATTCCTCTGCACAGTCCAGACCTGAGGAATCAGCTGTACTCTCTCCTCTTCATCTTGCATTGGGAAATGGGAGTGTGTTGGTTAACTCTTCAGCATCTGCTTATATTTGAATACTGCCTTCTGGTTTCCCCATTTCCTGGCCACCTGACCCTGGACAAATTGCTTTTCCATTCTGAATGTCAGTTTCTGATTTTTGTAACATGGAGAAAAGAGCAGTACTTGCTTCTTAGCATTAGGGTAAGGGTAAAATGAAATAACAATGATTATTATGAACTTAGTGTGGTGCTTGGCACATTGCTGATACTCAGTAAATGTTCCTTTTATTATCTGACCTTAGGCTGGGCCCATTTGTATTTCCCTAATGCATAAGGCAGGTGATCTTGGGTGGAGCCTTCTGCACCGAGCAGGGCAGCTCCCTAGGTGGGACCATTTTTCCCAGGGCAGAAACCTCTTGTCTGCGGCTCACCTCTGGCATCTTCCCTTTTCGGACCTAGCCTGCCAGGCAGCGCCCTTGGTTGGGAGAGTGGCATTGCTCCCGCAGGTTCTGGGCAGGAGAAGTGGGACCCGGAGCAGCAGAAAGTTATTTTGGACCGCCTAACTTGTGGCCTCATCCCAGGCCAAGGCCACTCCAGGTCAGATAGCCCTGGGTGGAGGCTGGTCAGGGTCTGCGCCTGGCAGAGAAGTTGGGCGAGTAGTGGGACCACACAATATACTGTGCAAACTGGACGCATTTGAGAGTAAAGGGGGCTCTTTTAGTCATTAGGCACAGGCTACCCGTTAAAGCCAGGATGGCGGTGACCCTGGCCAATAGCCTTCCATTCTAACAAGGTAGAGTCGGCGGGCCCCAGAAGGGGAGACTCCGTCTGGGTGGCCTAGGGGGGCGGAAGAGGGAAACTGAAACGGAGGAGTCGCACTCCACATTCCTTCGCTTTGGACTCCCCACCGGCCTTCAAGGTCACTTGGGCCCTCGTTCCTGCTTTGCGGGTATTTGCGCCTCTGTGCTCCCCACAGCGCTGTGGCCATGTCCCTGGGTAAGCCTCACGAGGGCTGAGACTTTTGTCCATTTTGTTCTGTTGTGCCGCCCCCAGAGCCTGGAATAGTGGCTGACAGAGAGCGTGAGCTCACTTGTGGAAGGAGTGAGCTTCTGAACAAATCCACCCATCGCTTTCCTAGCATTAAGTATCTGTTCACTGGTCCACTGTCCCTGCTAGTTTATGGCCTTCAAGGACGATATTGTACTTAACCTCTGTGACTCCAGCACCCAGCCCAAGGCTAGGCACAAAGTTAGCGCTCAACGCTATTTTGAATGCGCGAATGGAAGCAGACCGGCACCCCTTAGCTGTGCTTGGTCTTTTCTGCCGCCCCTTCTGTCTCTCCCCACACCGAGGAGCCATTACGGAGCCGGTTAGAGGCAGGTTAGGTGGCTCTTGGCTAAATGTGGGAGAAGAGAGGCCAGAACTGCTTGCCTTTGCCTTGTGAGGATCAAGACAGCGACTAAACTGAGGAACGGGAGGTTCTCCTGAGGCAGCGGCCTGTTTGGAGAGGTCGGAGCGGGAGCTGGACACGGACGCCGAGCGGTCGCCGTCTGAAGGAGCGGAGGCTGGGCATGAAAGGAGCAGGGGACTGGCTTCGAGGCCGGGGCTGCACTCCGCGGCACGGTGGGAAAGGGCCTAAAAAAGCCGGGATTGCCCCCTTGCGTCAGAGCTCGGAACTGCACCAGGATCCTGGAAGGAAGGACCTGTATTCAGAAGGGCCAGCCCAGCACCCAGCCCGACTGCAGCTGTGACGCGTCCAGGGCTCCGCCTCAAGCCGAGCACTCCCGCAGCACTTCCGGCTCCCGCCCCGAAGAGCTGACTGGGCCCAGGCCCTGGCCCGCCCCCCCTGGCCCCGCCTCCTCCTCCGTAGCCGTCGCCGCGCCTTGCCGTGGCCGGCGGGGGTACGTTCCTACGCGAGTAAAAGTGGGGCTCTGAGAACCCGGAAGTTACGTTATAGGCACGCGTCCCGGGGGCGGGAGTCAGCTGAGCTGCTGGGGCGAGGTTGGGATCTTCTCAAATCGGCTAAAGGGAGCCAGTGATCTTCTGGGGGGCGGGAGCGGGGTGCAGGACTGTTCCAGATTCAAGGGGGAGGGTTCCCCACTCTTCTCACTTTATAAGGCGGGAGCGAGAAAACCCTCAGGATTTTAAAGAGGAGTGGGCGGCGGATTGCCAACATCTGTCAGATTCTTGTCGAGGCTGGGGAGACGCAGTTTCCAATCCAGGGCGACGGGGATCCCTGGGGGGAGCCCTGTTGTAATCCCTGGGCCCGGGACGGAGGGCCCAGAGGCCGGGCACCATGGCGTCCATCCTGGATGAATACGAGGACTCCCTGTCCCGCTCAGCCGTCTTGCAGCCTGGCTGCCCCAGCGTGGGCATCCCCCACTCCGGTAAGGGAGGGGAGGGCGCCGCTCACCCTGTTCGCTCACCTGGCACCTGCGGGGGAGGATCCGGGGAGTAGCTCCAGGAGGTCCGGTTCACCGCCTGGCGGTGCAGTCCAAGTCTAGGCCCCTGATTCTCTTCAGGCGCTCTTGGCCCCCAGCTGGTGGATGGTCGAAGTTTGAAAGAGCAGCAAGAGCAGCCTCGTGATCTAGGCCCTGCCACTAGGGTCCTAAGAGGAAACTGGGACCCACATACGGAAGTGGCTTGTCTACAGGGCCACAGTTGAGAGAACTGAGAATAGGCTCCAAGGCTTCAGCCAGAGCCTATGCTTTTCCTTCGGCAGGTGGGAAGAAGAGAGTGGTCAAATAAAACGATGGAAGGGGAATGTTGTAGGGGAAGGAAGGCTGGTCCTAGAGGGAACTTCGTCACTGAACAGGGAAAAAAAAATTTTAGGCCTTTGCTAGATCTGGGTGCAGCCTGGTGTTGAGGGGAAATTTTTGTAGAAAGTAGGACAGAGTTGGCAGAGGGATCTGAAGTGCTGGGGTATTTTGTGCAATGGTAAAGACATGAGAGGAAAGGCTAGAGAGAAAGAAGCTGCAGTTTGATTGGAACTGTTCCCCAGGGCTCCCTCTGCCTTCATTCTTCTGGAGACTCAGTGAGAACATTATTGCATGGGCAGGGAGGAGGGGAGAGAGTGGATCTAGAATACTTTGGTTGAGCTGGGATTGCTGGGTCCAAGATTGATAAGGGAGAACGCCCAACCCTTCCCCCCCATTACCATTGGGAGCAGGTACATGACCATGTAGCAGCAGTTAAGGGTTGAAAGAATCCACCCCTCATGGCTATCAGAGGTGTGAAAAGAGCCCAGGACCCCTGATGTAGAGGTGATTAGCAAACTACCTGATATATTGATATTAAGCTTTTAACCAAGGGCTTGGGGTAGGGATATGTTGGGAAGGTGGAGAGGAAACTTTTTTTGTTGCCTCTCCTTGTCCTTCCTCCGTGTTTTCCATACTTAACTTTTAATTCCCTCCTTTCCTGTAGGGTTTGTGAATGCCCAGCTAGAGAAGGAAGTGCCCATCTTCACGAAGCAGCGCATTGACTTTACCCCTTCTGAGCGAATTACCAGTCTTGTCGTTTCCTGCAATCAGCTCTGCATGAGCCTGGGGAAGGATACACTACTCCGGTAAGTGAGGGCCCAAAAGGCTTAGGAGTAGGGAGTGGATTAGTGGTATTTGGGGACTAATCACTGACTAGGGCCTTTCTTTCACTCTGGGCAGGTGAAACAGTAGATTTGGAATTTTTTTTTTTTTTTTAAAGATTTTATTTATTTATTTGACGTAGAGAGAGACAGCGAGAGAGGGAACACAAGCAAGGGGAGGGGGAGAGGGAGAAGCAGGCTCCCCGCCGAGGAGGGAGCCCGATGCGGGGCTCAATCCCAGGATTCTGGGATTGTGACCTGAGCCGAAGGCAGACGCCCAACGACTGAGCCACCCAGGCGCCCCATGGGTGCTCTATTATTATAATTATCTTCTCTCTGGGTCAGGGCAATTTTTTCAGATGAAGTCATGGGCCTGCTTGAGAATGAACACTACAGATTTGTCAGGTAAGGTAAGGTTCAGAATTTTGTCTTCTGTGACCCAGATAGGGAACACGGAAAGAAATGAGTTTTGTTTTGTTTTTTTAAGATTTTATTTATTTATTTGACAGAGAGAGAGAGAGACAGCTAGAGAGGGAACACGAGCAGGGACAGAGAGAGAGGGAGAAGCAGGCTTCCTGCCGAGCTGGGAGCCCGATGCAGGGCTCGATCCCAGGACCCTGGGACCATGACCTGAGCCAAAGGCAGACGCTTAACGACTGAGCCACCCAGGCACCCCGAGAAATGAGCTTTTATTGAAGTTGTCATCCTACTATTCTGGTTTTGTTATTACCTTTATTTTACAGATGAGGAAACTGAGTCTCCACAGAGGTGAAGTGACTTGCCAAAGGCCTAGAGGCTAAGAGAGAGCCAGGACTGTGGAGCCCAAGTCTGCACTCCAACACCACCCTCTTCTCAGTCCTCCCCTTAAGGATTATGGGCTACAGAGCAGGTTCTATTGCTTCGTTACCTTTTGCCATATAAACACTGATTACATTCTAACATTTAGATATCTTTTTAAAATTTTGTACTGTGATCAACTTCATCTAGATATTACATAGAAGATGCACGCATTTGGGGGCACCTGGGTGGCTCAGTCGGTTGAGCGTCTGCCTTTAGCCCAGGTCATGATCCCAGGGTCCCGGGATCGGGCCCCGAGTCAGGCCCCCTGCTCAGCGGGGAGCCTGCTTCTCCCTCTCTCTCTGCCTCTCCTCCCAGTTATTGCTCTCTCTTGCTCACTCTCTCTCTCAAATAAATAAATAAAATATTTTTTAAAAAAGATGCACCCATTTTAAGTGTATGGTTCCGTGAGTTTTGACCGATGTGTCCACCTCTAAGTCACCACCAGCAGCACAATCAAGATATGAAATATTTCCATCTCCCCCACAAAGTTCCTTCTTATTCTTTTCTAGTCAATCCTCCACCCCCTAGACCAGGTCCCAGGCAAACACCGATCAGCTTTTCTGTTGCTAAAGCTTAATTTTTGCCTGCTTTAGAATTTCAAATAAATAGAAGCATACTCTGTATACTCGTCTATGTCTGGCTTCCTGTGCTAAACCTGTTTCTGAGATTCATTGCATGTCAGGGTAATTTGTTCTTTTTCATTGCTGAATAGTATTCTCTTGTACAGATGTACCACTATTTGTTTATTCTTTTGTCAATGGACATTGAGTTGTGTCCAGTTTGGGGCTATTATGAATAAAGCTACTATAAATACTTGTGTGTAAATCTTTGTCTAGACAGATGTTTTCTTTCTCTTGGGTAAATACCGAGGCCCGGAACTGCTGGCTCATAGAGTAAGTGCCTATGAAGCAGCTGTTAATGGCTGCACCATTTTATGTTCCCTCCAGCAATGAGTTTACAACCTCACAACACTAAGTATCGGTGGCCTGCTTTTTTGGTTTTGGGTTTTTTTTTAAGATCTTATTTATCTAGGGGCTCCTGGGTGGCTTAGATGGTTAAAGGTCTGCCTTCGACTCAAATCATGAACCCCGGGGTCCTGGGATCGAGTCCCGCGTCAGGTTCTCTGCTTGGCAGGGAGCCTGTTTCTCCCTCTCCTTCTACTGCCTCCCCGCTTGTGCTCTCTCGTTCTGTCAAAGAAATAAAATCTTCTTAAAAGGTTTTTTAATTAAAAAAAGATTTTATCTATTTGAGAGAGAGAGAGAGACAGAGAGCACATGCAGGGGGAGGGGCAGAGGAAGAGGGAGAAGCAGGCTCTCCGCTGAACAGGGAGCCCGATGTGGGGCTCGATCCCAGATCCCAGGACCCCAGGATCATGACCTGAGCCAAAGGCTGATGCTTAACCGACTGAGCCACCCAGGCGCCCTTCAGTGACCTTTTAAAATATTTTGGATTTATTGTTGTTGTGTTGTTACTATCGTTTTTCATTTCGGTAAGAGGCCATATGGGTGAATCTACAGGCAAGTTTAACTCAGACATATGCAGTGTGACGTAGTGTGTGCATTAAGTTGGAGGCAGGATGAGGGCTGGTTGTTAGATTTTACCGGGTTTCACATTAATTAGAGAAAGCTCCCTGGCTATCGCATCTTTTGAAATGTCTCCTGGACTAAGGGAAAGATAAGAAGCATAGCAACCAGCTCTGAGGCAGTGCCCTGAAAATCATTATTCCCTGGGCATTGTCCCTAAAGGGACTGTGGCAAAGGTTTGGCTTTCAGAGAATCACAGAATGTTAGAGATGGTCTAGTTCTACCTTCACAGCTTACAGCTGAGGAAAGGAGAGGAGCTCAGAGAGGGGAGGTTACTTGTCTAGCACACGATGAGCATGGAGCCTGATGCAGGGCTCAATCCCACAACCCTGAGATCATAACCCCGGGATCATGACCCAAGTGGAAACCAAGAGCCGGATGCCCAAATGACTGGGCCACCCAGGCGCCCCTGGTTTTGTTTTCAATCAGTTTATGCATTCATAGATAGAATGCTTAAATGAGACAAAGTTTAGCATCAATTATCTTCCTATATATTTTTTTGTTTTGTGTTGATCTAAATGCGGAGAAAGCTTGTTCACATAAATGTTAGATGGGAATGGAAGGTTTGATATACAATGTCACTTGATTATTTGACTCCTTTCCAAATTATATGCCAAAAATGTTAGTGATTTTTTTTTCAATAAACCAATAGCTGATTAGGTTCTCAAATTGTATTCAAATTAAAGAACCAGAAACTGGGGCACCTGGGTGGCTTAGTCAGTTAAGCATCTGCCTTCGGCTCAGATCATCATCCCAGGGTCCTGGGTTCAAGCCCACATCGGGCTCCCTCCTCAGCCAGAGTCTGCTTCTCCCTCTCCTCTTCGTGCTCTCTCTCTCTCTCTCTTTCTCTCTCACTTGCTCACACACTCTCTCTTTCAAATAAATAAGTAAAATCTTAAAAAAAAAAAAAGCAGAAATCATTTGATGGGTAAAGGATTTGTTACCTGTTCTTTGTGGGAATACCAACAATAATTCCAGAGGTCTTTTCGCTGGGCTTCCTGCAGACTTTTATCCCTGGAAGGAAGCACCATAGTGTGAAGGGTTTTGATTTTCCCATCCCAATAGGTGAGTGGTGTATTTTTCTTTGAAAAGTAGAAGCAGGGGAGGTGGGAGATATCCTGCCTCTTCCTCCCAGGTACCTTCTGCTGGTCACTTTTAGGAAATAGATGAGGGAAGCTGAGGACACCGATTTCCTTGGTGCTCCGTGCCTCTTGGGGAGACCTTTTCAGCCCCCTAAGGACATGTGAACCCCAGTTTGAGGACCAATGACGTAAGGATGCTTTCTTTTTATTTTTAAAGATTTATTTGTTGGGGCGCCTGGGTGGCTGAGTCATTAAGCGTCTGCCTTCAGCTCGGGTCATGATCCCAGGGTCCTGGGAT